GAGACCATGTCTCAAAAAAAAGAGAGAGGAAAAAAAAGACAATTTGCAATGCAGTTTCATAAGCTCTGTGCAGGAAGCACGAAAAGAGTGCTGCAGTACTAGAGTGGTGGAAATATTCTAAAGCCAGGTGATAGTTACGGCTGCAAACTTGGTAAATTTACTAAAAGTCATTAAACTGTACACTTAAAACAGGTTGAATTTTATGATATACACATTTTTTTTTTTTTAAAGATGGAGTTTCGCTCTTGTTGCCCAGGCTGGAGTACAGTGGGGCTATCACAACTCACTGTAACCTCTGCCTCCTGGGCTCAAGTGATTCTCCTGCCTCAACCTCCTGAGTAGCTAGAATTACAGGTGTCTGCTACCATGCCCAGTTAATTTTTTGTATTTTTAGTAGACATGGGGTTTCACCATGTTGGCGAGGCTGGTCTCGAACTCCTGACCTCATGATCCACCCACCTCGGCCTCCCAAAGTTCTGGGATTACAGGCATGAGCCACTGTGTCCGGTTGATATATAAATTATAACACAATCAAGTGTTTTTTTTTTTTTTAAGATGAAGTCTCATTTTGTCACCAGGCTGGAGTGCAGTGGTGTGATCTCGGCTCACTGCAACCTCTGCCTCCTGGGTTCAAGCGATTCTCCTGCCTCAGCCTCCTGAGTAGCTAGGAATACAGGCGCCTGCTACCACACTTAGGTAATATTTTTGTATTTTTAGTAGAGACAGGGTTTCACCATGTTGGCCAGGCTGGTCTCAAACTCCTGACCTCGTGATCTGCCTGCCTCGGCCTCCCAAAGTGCTGGGATTATAGGCATGAGCCATCGCACCCGGCCAGTAAAGTTGCTTTTAAAAACGGCTACTATGTGTATGAGCACAGAGATTCCCTTTAGTTCTAAATTAAAACTATGATCCTCACCACCTTTGCCCAGGGGAGCAAAGTGAAGAAGGGGGAAGAAGTTGGCAAAGTGGTGAAGTGTAGGTTGGTCTTGCTTAGGTTCTGGGTCTTGAGCCTGCCTTTAAGTGAGGGAAAGCACAGAGGGGTATCTTATATTCCAATGGCATCACCACATTTAGATTTTAGATAGGTTTCAAGGAAACAGTCTGACAGATGGCAGGACCGGAGGCTAGGAGGCCAGTTATAGGGATATTATAATGGTCTTGGACAGAAATCAGGGAGGTTGGAACCATGGGGTGGCAACAGTGTGAGAAGGAAGGCACAAGTGCGTGAGTTCTTAGGTACACTTGGCAGGACTTGGTAACTGGTGGGATGGGGATGAGGAGGGAGAGGAAGAGCCAGGGAAGGCTTAGATGATAGGAGGGGCAGCAGGGGGATGCACGTGGGGGTACAACCATGGATATATTTGATTTCAGATGCCTGTGTGACATCTAGGTAGACATAGCCAACTGGCAAATACACACATGACTCTGATGCTCTGGGGAGACCCAGAATTACAAGTCTTAGTATAAAGTGGTGGTTGAACCATAGCAGAGGATGAGATGAGTCACAGTGACCTTGTGAACTAGAAAAAAATTGGGCTGAGAATGGAACCCTGGGGAAATTAACACTTGAGAGCCAGGGAGATGAAGAGTACATAGAAAAGAAAACGGAGAAGAAAGTGAGAGAAACAGGAAGCAAGTCAGGAGAGTGTGACATCAGAGAGCCAAAGGAGACTGGGCACGGGGGCTCATGCCTATAATCCCAGCACTTTGGGAGGCTGAGGCAGGAGCATCACCTGAGGCCAGGAGTTCGAGACCAGCCTGGGAAATATTAAAAAAAGAAAGAAGGAGAGAGAGAGAGAGAGAGAGAAAAGAAAAGCAAGCCAAAGAGTCACGTTCGAGAAGAAAGGAGTAATAACGTCAAAGGTAGATAAGACCGCAGAAAATAAAGACTGAGAAGGAGTCCAGTGAATTTGGTTACTGACATTAGCATAAGAGTTTCAGGAGAGGGGAGGGGAGGTGATGGTCAGGCTGCAGCAGGCCAGGGAATCCATGGGAGGGCAGGAAGCAGAGACTGAAATGGAGCTGGCTATTTGCGACATGTGGGATGAGGCAGGAAGGAGCCAGCACTGCAGCTAGAGACGGACACGATGTCTATAGAAAACTTTGCTCTTTTGTTCTTAAGATGGGAGACACTTCAGCACGTTCGTGGACTGAGCCAACAAGAAAGGAAATGTCAAAGCTACCAAGGAGAGGCCTGTGGATGGATGGCAGGGGCTGGAGAGCAGGGGGCCTCAAATCAGGATCTCAGGCTGGGTACCAGCAGTAAGAGGGTCACTTCCTCCTCCAAGATGTGGGGACTAGATGGTGTGTAGCCTGGAGTGAAGGGGAGGAGGCTGAGTGGGTTCTCACCTGCCGGCCTTGGGGTCTTCATTTTGTTTCATTTGAGTGTGTGAAACCGGGCAGGGAGTTCTTTGTGGAAACTATGGGGGTTGGAGATTTGAAAAGAGTGAAAAGGTTTAAAATCGTGATGATAACAGAGGGAACTGACGGACAAGTAAATGTGTTGACGTGAGTCATCCTTCATTCTTTTCTTTCCCTCACTCCGCCTCTCCATCTATCAGCAAGATGTCTGTTCTGCTTCCACTTCCTGGGCCAGGCCACTTCTCACCACCTCCACTCCTACCACCCCGGGCCAAGTCACCAGAATCTCTCTCCTGAATTTCTATCATAGCTTCCTTACAAGTTTTCCTGCTTTTTCTCTTGCCCCTTCTGGTCCTTTCCCCATACAGCAGCCAGAGTTACCCTTAATACAACATAAATCAGATCATACTATTCCACCGCTTAATCATCCAATAATTCTCACAGTGGTAAGAATAAAATTGGGTCGGGCGCAGTAGCTCATGCCTGTAATCCTAGCACTTTGGGAGGCCAAGGTGGGTCGATCACCTGAAGTCGGGAGTTTGAGACTAGCCTGACCAACATGCAGAAACCCCATCTCTACTAAAAATACAAAATTAGCCGGGTGTGGTGGCGCATGCCTGTAATCCCAGCTACTTGGGAGGCAGAGGCAGGAGAATCGCTTGAACCTGGGAGGCAGAGGTTGCAGTGAGCCAAGATCCCACCACTGCACTCCAGCCTGGGCAACAAGAGCAAAACTCCGTTCAAAAAAAAAAAAAACACAAAAGGAATAAAATCTAAATGCCAAGCTATGCTCAGTGAGATGTAGTGTGACGCTTCTGCACTTTCCCTGGGTTCATGTGTTCTAGCCCCTCTGGCTGCCTTTGGTTTCCTCCAGGCTGGTTCCTGCCTCAGGGCCTTTGCACTGACTTTCCTTCCACTTGGGAAGCTCTGGTGGGATCTTTCCCATAATTCACCTCAACAGTCAAGTGTCATTTCCTCAAAGAGACCTCCCCTGCTTCTAACGGAGCACCGCCTCCAACCCCTTAACCTGTTTTATTTCCCTCACTGTATTTATCGATAATTGAAACTACCTTACACATGTCTACTTGTGTAAGCCCTTTCCCCTCTTACTCCTAGAATAAGAACTCCGGGAGAACAGAGGCTTTGTTCAGCACATAGTAGGCACCGAACAGATATTGGCTGAATGAATGAATGAAAAGGCAGTGTTGAAAGTCCAATGGAGATTAGAAAATAAAACGGCAATGGCTCAAAGCCACACCGCTGTGTGATTTTCTTCAATGAGGACCATAAAACTATAAGATTGATTTTTTCCTATGTGCCTGTTCTGGATACAATTTCAAACAGGAGCCGGGTGGCAGAGGCATCTTTGAGAGAAGCAGTTAGACTCCCAGGGCGACCAGTGTGGATGTTTATGTTCTTATTTATTTTGCAGAAATGCCCTTGATTTTCTAGTCTTCTTATACGTGGGTTGGCACGTTGTGGGAGGAAATTGCTGACTCCATTTCCAGCCCCAAAGCTAAGCCGTATTATACAGGTGAAATCAGGTTACTGAGATAGGTCTGGTTTCCTTGGTGACCTGGGAGCTTTAGTTATATTTGAAATTGCTAAGAAGGGGAAAAAACTGATAACAGCAGTTCTGTGTTTTCCTCAGGGAAGAAGCGCTTTTCAATTCTCAGCCCAGGCTGAGAACATGCCTTCTTGATCGGCAAGGGCTGAGGTCCCACCTCCGGCGGGATGACTGACACTTTCTACCTGCTCCCAGGATCCCACAGCCCAGTCTGGCAAGTTTATCCTATGCCAGCTCTGGCTGACTGCAACCTCAGGATTCCTCAGGCTCCCTGTGTGTTTTGGTGTTGCATGTAAACACTGTAACTAGGGGGACCGGCAGTTAGCTCACTGTAAAATGTGCAAACCACCTTTCTTCCGGTGGGGATGACAACAGAAGGGCGTGTTATTTTACAAACGGTAGGGCGACCCAGTTAACTCTTTCATGTTTTCTTTCCTTCTCAGTTGGTCAAATTTAAGCCCTAATGCCACTGGTCGACAAGGGCTCCATGCTGAACACTGAGGGAAGTACTTTTAGAGTGTTGATTTCATTTCATTTTCATGATAATACTAGAAGTGGATACGACCATTATCCTTGTTTGTGTTTATTTGTTTTTGAGACGGAGTCTCACTCCGTCACCCAGGCTAAAGTGCAGTGGCGTGATCGATCTCGGTTCACTGCAACCTCTGCCTCCCAGGTTCAAGCGATTCTCCTGCCTCAGCCTCCCCAGTGGTTGGGACTACAGTGCCACCACGCCTGGCTAATTTTTTGTATTTTCGGTAGAGACAGGGTTTCACTGTGTTAGCCAGGATGGTCTCGATCTCCTGACCTCATGATCCACCCGCCTCGGCCTCCCAAAGTGCTGGAATTACAGGCATGAGCCACCGCGCCCGGCTATCCCTGTTTTTTTTTTTTTTTTTCCCACAGACGAGGAAATAGAGAGGTGAAGTGGCTTTTGCTAGTCATATACCTAATCGGTGGGTTTGGGATTTTAGAAAACTTTTACTGCTTATCATATGTTGACGCTGTATTCTGAATTCTCTCTAAATACTGGAAGAGAAGGCAGAAAACCATTCTTGCTTTCTGCAATTACCTGATACTCAGAGTCCACCTTATGCTGCATGTCCCGCAGATACTGAACGTCGCTGAAGAACTTCTGCCTGTCCCTTGCGTCATGCAACATGATTCCTAATCCCCGGCCTGTTTAGAAAAGATAAACAAACGTGCTGTGGAGAGTGCTTTGTTGTGATGCCGTGTTTGGATTTATTTTCATCTAATTGCTTTTATTTGTGTATTCATCTAATGTCCCTTGTTTGAAAGGCACAGATGCTCCTTTCAAGCTGAAGGGACTTCTTGTGTTGGTGCTGATGCCCTGACAGTCCTCCTGTTCCAGGCATAAATAATGCAGCCACCTTCGTCAGGCACTTCAGAGATCCCTTCCTGGTTACTCAGAGGGAGTTAGATTGACAGACACCTGAATCCGTTCTAGAGCATGACAAAAAGGAAAACCTGAGAACCTAGCTAAATTAGCAGTGACCAAAGTTACAGGCCTCTCGTTGCTTAAATCCATTTAAGCAACAGTGATATTGCACCCTTATTCTCATCCGGGCACTGTGCTGGGCACTGGAGTAGAGCAACCAGCAAAGCAGACACGACCCTCACCTTTGCTTTTTTTTTTTTTTTTTTTTTTTTTTTGAGACAGAGTTTTGCGTTTGTTGCTCAGGCCAATGGCCAGTCTCAGCTCACTGCAACCTCTGCCTCCCGGGTTGAAGCGATTCTCTTGCCTCAGCCTCCCTAGTAGCTGGGATTACAGGCACCCGCCACCATGCCTGGCTAATTTTTGTATTTTTAGTAGAGACGGGGTTTCGTCATGTTGGCAGGGCTGGTCTCGAGTTCCTGACCTCAGGCGATTCACTCGCCTCAGCCTCCTGAAGTACTGGGATTACAGGTGTGAGCCACTATGCCCGGCCTGTGTTGCTTATTATCCGGGGTATGAGACTGACTTTGAACAAGTGAATCCTAACGGTGATAGGGGCTCTGGAGCAGAACTATGGGGCTCTTTGAGAGTGGTGTTATGGGAAGGCATAACCTGGTCTGGAGGGGTCAGGTAAGGTTTTCCTTAGGCAATGACACTGGGTTTGACAGAGTGAGCTAGCTGAGAAGTAGAACAGAGAGGACAGCAGGTGCAGAGGCTTCAGGCATGAAGAGGCAGGTGCAGATGAGGAAGACGGGAGGGGAGCAGTGCAGCTGGAGCAGAGAGGAGGCGGGAACAGCCCCGGAAGGGCTGCAGGGGAGGCAGGGACCAGCTCCTGTGGGGCCTTGAAGGTCATGATTCAAAGAGTCATAAGAAACTACTGAAAAGTTCCAATCTGAGGAGTAAATGATTAGATTTGTATTTTTTTATTTTATTTTATTTATTTATTTATTTTGAGATGGAGTCTTGCTCTGTCGCCCAGGCTGGAGTGCAGTGGCGCAATCTTGGCTCACTGCAAGCTCCGCCTCCCAGGTTCACGCTATTCTTCTGCCTCAGCCTCCCGAGTAGTTGGGACTACGGGTGCCCGCCACCACGTCTGGCTAATTTTTTGTATTTTTAGTAGAGACGGGGTTTCACCATGTTAGCCAGGATGGTCTCGATCTCCTGACCTCGTGATCTGCCTGCCTCGGCCTCCCAAAGTGCTGGGATTACAGGCATGAGCCACCGTGCCTGGCCTTGTGTTTTTATTTATTTGTTAATTCTTTTTCTTAGAGATAGGATCTTGCTCTGTCATCCAGGCTGGAGTATAGTGGTGTGATCACAACTCACTGGGTGTAGTGGCTCACGCCTCCCGAGGTGATCACCACTTGAGCCCAGGAGTTTGAAACCAGCTTTGGCAATATAGCAAGCCCGTTTCTATTAAAAACAAAATTGAAAATTAGCCAGGTATTGTGATGCATGCCTGTAGTCCTACCCACTCAGGAGGCTGAGGTGTGAGGATCGCTTGAGCCCAGGAGTTAGAGGCTGCAATGAGCCACGGTCATGCCACTGCACTCTAACCTGGGCAACAGAGCAAGACCCTGTCTGTATTTAAAAAAAAAAAAAAGATTTGTATTTTAAAAAGATCTCTCCAGTTGCAGTATGAGAATGGATGGGGTGTGGGGGATGGTGGTAGAGTAAAAAACGTAAGTGGGAAGACCATTGGGACTATTTCATAGTAATCTAGATGTGATAAGATGAAAATCAGCATTGGGTAACAACAGTGGAGAGAAAAAGGAGGAGGAGGAGGAGAATGGGGAGGGAGAGGGGATCATAGCTACTCTTTTTTTTTTGAGACGGAGTCTTTCTCTGTCACCCAGGCTGGAGTGCAGTGGGGCTATGTTGGCTCACTGCAACCTTCACCTCCCAGGTTCCAGCAATTCTCCTGCTTCAGCCTCCCAAGTAGCTGGGATTACAGGCACGTGCACCACGCCTGGCTAATTTTTTATTATTAGTAGAGATGGGGTTTCACCATATTGGCCAGGCTGATCTTGAACTCCTGACCTCAGTTGATCCACCTGCCTCAGCCTCCTAAAGAGCTGGGACTACAGGTGTGAGCCACTGGGCCGGGCCCATAGTTACTCTTTACTGAGCCTCTGGAAGGGATAGGCCTTGTTCTAAGCAGTTACATCAATTAACTCATTCAATCTTCTCAACAACGCTGTGAGGCCGGAGCTAGATCTCTATTTTGCAGGTGAGGAAACTGAGGGCCAAAGGGATTAAGTAACTTGCCTAAAGTTACAGAGCTAGTGAGTGGGAGAGTTGGGATGTGAACCCAGAGAGTCGTGCTCCAGTGCCCACACTCTTACCTAAGGGATTCAAGGGACGCTCAGGAGAGAAAGTCATCAGGGCTTGCGATTATATGAATGGACCAGGGGTGGAAGTCTCAGGGATGCCCAGGTTACCGGCTTGAGCAGCCAGTTGGTTGGTGCCAGCATTCCCTTCAGAAAACACAGGAGGAGCTGCTTTGTGAGGAAACAGCATGGCGTGACAAGTGTCTCGGGTGCGGCAAATGGAGATGTCAAGTGCGCTGTCAGACGCGGGGCTCTAGAGCTGACCAGAGAGGTACAGATTTGGGCATTGCTGGGATTCTGTGATAACTGAAGTTGAAGGAAGAATGGGAACGAAAAGAGAAAGAGGACACAGGACAAAACCGTGAAGAACACTAATATTTAGAGAACAAGCCACTGAAGAGAAACTCTGCAAAAAAAAAAAAAAAAAAAAAAAAAGGCCAGAGAGGCAGGAAGAAACCAGGTGGGTGCCGTTTCAGAGATGCTGAGGAGGTTTCAAAAAGGAGGCTATTAATAACCTTGGTGAGAGCATTCAGTGGAGTGACGGGGCTGGGAGGTCTGCAGAAGGTTGCGTAAATGGGAGGTAAAGGCGTGGAGATCATGCTTTCAAGAAGTTTAGCTTTGACTGGCATGGCCCAAATTTATGGCCAAGATAGCGAAGCTCACAAAGTTGATAAAATGGCACTGTTAATAACGACCCCTCATCTATGGGGTCATCAAAGTCCCTACACTATTCCTGCTTGTTGTCTACTGAAGCTCTTTCATTTATTTCTACACACACACATACACATATTTTTTACAACTGCTGTGTGACAAGGGCTGCTAGGCTCTGGGGAAACATCAGGATGGGACAGGCAACATCTCTACCTTCAGGTGTATATGTTCTGTGGCTTTCCCTCCCTCCTCCTGTTTATTCAGTTGTGTAGATATTGGCAGAGTCAGGCTGCCCCTGACTCATGGTGACCCAGCGTCTGGTCTGGTAGTTATGAAATCTCACATGGTTTATCGTCTGGCCCTGAACAATGGGGAAAACTTGTGCTGGTCTCTTGGGGGCTGTTTTCTCTGGAGTATGGAAAGTTGGTCTTTGACAGTCAGAATCTGAAACTACAATGTGTATTTCCAGTCTACGCACAGAACCTACATTTTGTCTCTGAGCATTTTAATAATCACATGGGATTATGTTTTAAAAGATCACTTTTAGCTTTTCATCTGAATGTGTACCTGCATAGAATGAAGTTACCTTTCCACTCTTTTCAGAAAACGATGGTGTTAAAACAGGCAGAAGGATAAGCTCCTGCTGCTACTGTGGGAAAGAGAAGCCTGTCAGAATCTTAATCAGGCAGAGACCATAAGGACTCATAATAAAACTATGTTAATGGTCACTAAAGGGGAGCATCCCAGAGACCACTCGGATGATACATTTTCGTTGCCAAAGTTAATATAGAAAGCCAGTTAATCTATCACGGCTTTAGAGTAGGGTTAATTTAAGGAGGCTTCTAAGTCAAGAGGCATGAAATAACTTTGTCTAAATAGGTAGGAAGTAGCACCCTTTGAATTATTTGCTAAGTTACCTCTGACTTCACAATCACCTACCAAATAAAGGACTTAAAAATGCTTGTAATCCCAGCACTTATGGAGGCCGAGGTGGGTGGATCACTTGAGGTCAGGAGTTCGAGATCGGCCTGGCCAACATGGCAAAACCCCACCTCTACTAAAAATACAAAAATTAGCTGGGCATGGTGGTGCGCTCCTGCAGTCCCAGCTACTTGGGAGGTTGAGACAGGAGAATCACTTGAACCTGGAAGGCGGAGGTTGCAGTGAGCCAAGATGGCACCACTGCACTCCAGCCTGGGCGACAGAGGGACACTCCATCCCCCCAAAAATAAATAATAATAATAATAATAATAAAGTAATAAAAATAAAGTTGCCTACAAAAGTCTCTTTTCCTTCCCCAAAACTCTCTATTACATTGTATTTTACAATATTTAGAAACATCGTGGTGCCACATGTAATTTTTTATTTAAATACATCAAGTATGAGATTAAACGAATATTACAGGAACAAAGAAAACAGGGTATTAGTGTTAAGACCAAGAAGATGGTGGGTTACGTTGGTTTAAGCAAACATTCTCCGTGTTCGCTTGAACTTCATACCGCACTCAGTCGGTCTGAAAAACTGACCAGGATGAACAAGAAACAGAAATAACAGTATGGAAATAAAACTACATGAGATAATGCTTAATTCACGGATCTCAGCTTTGTAGGCCTACTCAACCAGATGGCCACTTGAAGCCAAGAATTTTTTCCCAGCAAACACAGAGGGTTGGGGTGGGGGTGATAATAAAATGTGAGCAAGGCGCATGTTTCTAAAATAGCCCTCTGTATTCTCTTCTATCGCTCACCTTTGAACTGCTTCTTAATTTAAAATCCACTCATGGTTATGCACGCTTCTGTTTTAAGTCTTTCTGGTGATAATGTCTTGTGCCAAATCTGTGCTTTAGAAATCAACATAAGAAGCCATATTAAGTAGGGAGAAAGGAGGAGGGAGTTGGAGGCAGGTGGAGAAGGAAAGAGGGGGTCCTGCCTTGCTGAAAGCAAGAGCGAGTAATTCTTCTTGGCCTCAAAATTCTACATATCTGTGAAATTTTAATGGGGAATATTCTAAGAACTTTGTGACATACACATTCCTCTCTGGTGTAACTTTCCAAAGAATTCCAACCAAGTTTTCCTGACGGAAGGGAACAGAATCTGAATGCAGAATGTTTTTCAGTGCTCTAAAAAGTCATGCATACATACCATCCTTCTGTTTTATGACCACGTTTGTCAAAAGAACCGATTTGAAGGAGCCTCTTCTTAAGAACAATCAAAATCTTACTGGTTTCTTACTATGTTCTCATAAAAGAAAGACATCACTACAGTTAATATTCTGTTAAGCAATAAAGGAAAATGTAAATAATTTAACCTCCTTCTTAGACGGAAGGTTGCTTTGAAACAAAATCTAAATGGCTATTGTTAATACCTGACAACCAGGCTCAAAAATTACTCCCTTTCCACAATTAGGTGATTGGAGAAGGATTTCAGGAGACCTTATTCAACCTTTCTCCCAACTGATTAATTTGTAATGTCCAACATTATAGGATTTAAATCTTAGCTTTTAAAAAAACTTAGCATTTTGAAGTCTTAGCTTATAAACATGTCTTGAGTATAAGCAACAAAGTTTACGATTTGGGCCCAATTTACGAAGACTGTGACTGCAGAGAAAAAGGGGGAACTGGTTGGGAAAGGTAAGGAGATCTTTCACCTCTTCCAGCCAGTTTGGCTTAAGAGTTGGGGCGGGGCGGAGGCGGGGGAACAGACTTGTTTTTGGCGGTGATTCCTCATTTTACTGTGAAACTAGGAGAGACAGGCGGTCACATTTCGACCATCAAGCCCAGAAGAGAGGAGAAACTCAACGAGTAATCGGGAAACTTTGGGGGAGGAAACGTCACAGGTTTGACAAGCAATTCAGTGCCATCATTAATAACAATCCAGCCAGGGAAACATAACGAGACCCCTTCTTTACAAATAATTTAAAACATTAGCCAGACATAGTGGTGACCTGTGATCCCAGGTACCACCGGGGGGCTGAGGCGGGAGGATCGCTTGAGCCTGGGAGGCCGAGGCTGCAGTGAGCCGTGACTGCGCCGCTGCACTCCAGCCTGGGAGACACAGCGAGGATCTTCAAAAACAAACAAAACCAGTATCAACCATTTCGCACTCAGAAGCCTAAGGGGCCATGGTCTGTCTATACCTTTTCTGACCAGAGGCGTCTGCAGGAAGAAAGGTGGTTGCGGGCGGCTGCCAGTGAGCAAAGAGTCACGGTCTCCCCCAAACCTGACCCTTTGAGACAGAAAAAAGCTGGGGCTGGGGTCAGCCGGGGGGAGGGGACAGCCAGGCCACCGGATGTCAGGCCCGGTTTCCCTCCAGAATCTTGGAAGACGAAAGGGAAGGTTGTCCCCCATCCTGGCAGGACGGAAGAGGAGCGGCGGGGGCGAGTGGGCCGTTACCTGGGGGTCTGCCCTTCCTCCCCTACCGGGGCTAAAGGGGTCGAGGGGCAGGGCGGGCGGGCCGGTCCAGGGCGTAGGAGCTGCCCATTAATTGCGCGGCGACTGGCCTAAGCGCCTCTTCCTCCTCCTCTTCTCGCTTCTTCGCTCCCTAAACCTGCCCCTCTTCCTCCTCCTTCCCCGAGGCTGCTTTCCGCGGCGCTGACCAGCCTTGCCTGGGGCGGGGGCGGTGGGGGCGGCTACCGGGCGTCCTCTGGTTTCCCTAGCAACCGCGCCTCCCCGCCCCCATTCCCCCGCCCCCGCGCAACCAGGTGCAGCAGCCGAGAGCGCGGGGCGGGGCGGGGCGGAGCTGGGCTGTGGCCCCTGGGTCCCAAGGCAGGCGTGGGCGCCTGCCGGTTGCCGTGGCAACGAGGCTGGCTGCAGTCGGGTAGGCAGAGCCGCGCTGGTGGGCAGCGAAGAGATGCCCAAGGAGGAGGCGGTTGGCTTTGTCTGGATGCCCAAGCCCAGACCCAGATATCCAGGCCTCCGCTCCCTTTCCTGAAAGGGTGCTATGCTTCATAAAAAATGAGATTAGAACACGAGAGATAATAATATTTTTAATGGAATCAGGGAATATGAAAAGCGGTACATGCAAAGAGGGAAAGATACTGCAGTCCTGGAGTTCGACCTCTGCAGAGGACATCTGGAATGCTATGGTCCAACATGAAAAAGAAGAAATAAGCGATGAAGGGAGGCACCCAGTCAGTGGCAGAACCGAGACCAGAGCCCAGGCCTCTTTGTAATCAGTCGTCTTCACCCCGTTTCCAAGGAGAGAGGTGCTTAGAGGCCTAGACCAGGCCTCACAGGTTTAGGAGGAAGGGCACCAGAACCGCTACTACCCGCACCTTTTCTCTGCCAGGCGGATTTCTTCCTTTCTTTCTTTTTCTTTTCTTTTTTCTTTTTCTTTCTTTTTTTTGAGACAGTCTCGCTCTGTCGCCCAGGCTGGACAGTGCAGTGGCGCGATCTCCGCTCACTGCAGCCTCTGCTTCCCAGACTGAAGTGATTTTCGTGCTTCAACCTTCCAAGTAGCTGGGATTACAGGCATGCGCCACCACGCCCGGCTAGTTTTTGTATTTTTTTTAGTAGAGACGGGGTTTCTCCATGTTGGCCAGGTTGGTCTCGAACTCCTGACCTCAAGTGATCCAGCCGCCTGGGCCTCCGAAAGTGCTGGGATTACAGGCGTGAGCCACCGTGCCCGGCCTTGCCAGGTTGATTTCTGTCTGTGGTTCTCATGGGCAAAGATGACTCTCCTATTTACTTTGCATATTTAGGCTCTCAACTTGTCAACTGTTGCCAAGTTAGGTATTTTTGATTGGGTGGAGAGTAAGGTAAAGGAAGAATAGAAATTCTTGGAACTTTCGTAAGTGCCCGGAATCTCTAGGTGTCTGTGGTTTGACCATCTTCTCAACACCTCCCCTTCCCCCCCATTCAGTTGGTGCCAAGTCCTTGGCAGTGTTACATTCTTTTTTCTATTCTTATCACTACCACTCTAGTTTTGGGTTCCATGACCTAGTTTTGGGCTCCATGGATTATTTTGAGGGCCTCCTGGCCACACCCTGGGCCCTTGTCCTCCACACCCTGTCTCCACCATTTACCCCATCCTGTAAGCAGCCTACATCTAATGTTGCTGGCCCCCTGCTTAAAAAGCCCTGGAAGGTTCCTCACCGCCTATGGAATGAAGTCCAAACTCGTCACTATGACTTTCCCTGTGCCCTCCCCCATGGTTTCCTTTCTTGGTTTTTCTCCTTCATCACTTCTTCACTCATGTTTCAGCCAGATGGGACTATGTGTTACACACTGAACATTTTTCCTTGCCTTCACACCAGCTTCAAAGACATATCCTGAGCCAGGCAGAGTCTAGACAAATGTACTTAACAGAAGTCTTTCCATTGAGCACATTCCCATCTGAACTTCACTGGTCCTCCAGCAGCCCCTAGGATCTTTTCATCTCTAGTAGCCCAATCCATATTCTGTTCGTGTTCTCAGCTGATTATCAAGTATACCTTAGTAAAGCATTAACTGATAATTGACGTATTAACTGATAAGGATGTAACCTAAGAACTTGCCTCATGGTTTTTGCCTTTCAAAAATATATACTTTGGGCCAGGCATGGTGGCTCATGCTTGTAATCCCAGCACTTTGGGAGGCCAAGGCAGGGGGATCACCTGAGGTCAGGAGTTCAAGACCAGCCTGGCCAAAGTGGTGAAACCCCATCTCTACTAAAAATACAAAAATTAGCCGGGCGTGGTGGCGGGCACCTGTAATCCCAGCTACTCAGGAAGCTGAAGCAGGAGAATTGCTTGAACCCAGGAGGCAGAGGTTGCAGTGACCTGAGATTGCACCACTGCACTCCAGCCTGGGCAACAAGAAACTCTGTCTCCCCCCAAAAAAACAAAAAAACAAAAAACCAAAATAAAAGGTTGGATGTGCACACTGGGTCGAAACTATAATAGTGAAATGATAGGTAGGGAACTTGTTCTGTTGGAGCGAGGACCCACCTCAAATAAAAATAACAGAGAAGGAAGTTGAAGCCCAGGTTCTTTCTTTGTTGAAGGTAAGGGACATGACCAGAACATATGGTAAGTACCAGAACCAGGGCTCAAAAACAGGGCTTTCCACCTCCAATAACTTGATGTTGCCCACTACTAAGAAAAGCACCTTGGTACTTCCTGTACCCAGATTTGTCTCCTTCTACTTCAGGATCTATATAAAATAATACTATCTCAAAAGATTGCTGTGTGAAATAAATGAGAGAGGACAAGCAAAGCATTTCACGTCATGCTTGGCACATAGCACTCAGTAATTGGTGACTTTGCTTTATAAGGCATATCTTAAGATTTTTTTGCATGTGAGTGTCAACCATAAATATTTAAAGATTTTTATTTTTTATTTTTTATTTTTTTTGAGACAGAGTCTATCACCCAGGCTGGAGTGTAATGGCGCGATCTTGGCTCACTGCAACTGCCGCATCCCAGGTTCAAGTGATTCTCCTGCCTCAGCCTCCTGAGTAGCTGGGACTACAAGTGCGTGCCACCACGCCCAGCTAAGTTTTGTATTTTTAGTAGAGACAGGGTTTTGCCAGGTTGACCAGGCTGGTCTCAAACTCCTGACATCAGGTGATCCACCTGCCTCAGCCTCCTGAAGTGCTAAGATTATAGGTGTGAGCCACCACAGCCAGCCTAAACATTTTTGAATAACAAGGTCTAGAGAAATCACTTCATATCTCAGCTTTAAACTCTTCCACATGTCAAGTGTTCTTGAAAATTAAGTTCTATGAAAAAATCATGGTGCCTTTGAAAGAGGGCAATTGTGCCCAAGGTCAGCTCATAAAAAGCTATAGAATAACTCCAACTTTAGTGTTTAATGAGTAAATTTAAGCTAGGCACATAAACTACAAATAAGATTAGTTCTGTCATTAAAAAGCAAAGTCCTTAGGAAGAGAAATATTAAAATGAAGAAGAAAAACTTCTCCTGGTTGGGGAAAGGATCCTACTCTTTATTATTTCCTGCACAATGTTCCTAGTAGAGATGAATAAGTAAAAACAAAACTTAAGACTTAAGTAGATGGTAGATTCTAATGCTACCTCATGCTGCTCTAACAAAATACCTTAGACTAGGTCATTTGTAAACAACAGAAGTGTATTGCTCACAGTTCTGGAGGCTGGGAAGTCCAAGATCAAGGCATCTGCAGATTTGGCGTCTGGTGAGGGCTTGCTGCGTTTTGTATATAACATCTTCTTGTTTCATTCTCATATGGTGGAAGGGACAAACTCCCTCAAGCCTCTTTTATAAGGGCCCTCATCCCATTCATCATGGTGAAGCCTTCATGACCTAGTCACCTCCCAAATGCCCCGCCTCTTAATACCGCTACAATGGGAATTAGGAGTCAACATGACTTTTGGAGGAACTTAAGCATTCAGACCATAGCAAGCATCAAAAAGTTCCTTAATTATATCCAAGAGTTCTGCAAAGAACAACTACAAGTATAAAATTTCAAAAGTAGACTGTGTATTAAGTTTCAGAAATAACACTTTTGAGGGAAATATTTAATGCAGAGTAAGCTGTGCAAAGAGTAGGCATACATTCTGAGTCTCCCAAGGTTTTTGAGGCAGGGATATCCAGTAGCTTCATGGACACCTGGCCCAGCTACTCAGTTGAGCTGGAGCAACCCACCCTCTATCTGCCTAATATTTTCTCTTCCTAAGAGAGAGAGAGTGTCTAACTAAGAGAGTCTCTTTGCAACTAACTATTCAGAAGCTCTCCTATTGAGCATAGAGTTTTATGCCAAGTGACTTCAGAGGCAGATGGCCTCCCTCTGATACAACTTAAAGTTGGTCATTTTTGCCTTGGTCATGGGACCTTGCTGTGACTAATGGGTTCCTTTTCTCATCATTGAGGCCAGTGTGGTGTTGCCTTCATCCATGCATACAGCATGAACAATGGCAGTTTGTTTGCAAAAAGAATCTCTACAAATAGCTTTCCTGAGAAGGGGACTGTGGACATGTGAGTCCTTTAGGGCTCCATGGGTTCTCCTCCAGCATGCCATTGTGCAGGGGCTTCACCTGACTCATTTTCAAAACTAGCTAATGACTTACTGGGTATACCAGGGGTCGCTGTGACATTCTGCATTCATCTTGTAGCTATATTTGGCCAGACTGTGGGTATGCAGTGTGATAGCCTCTCAGTGTCACTCATTAAAAGTCATCCTTTATTGATGTCATCAGATGGTTAGAGAGCTTGGTAGGCTTTCAAAATGAGCCTTCTGGATTATGTACATACAGTTGGCCCTTAAACAGCATGAATTTGAACTGCCCAGGTCTACTTATACGTGGGTTTTCTTCCACCTCTGCACCCCCTGAGACAGCAAGACCCACTCCTTGTTTTCCTCCTCCTCCTCAGCCTACTCAGCATAAAGACAATGAGGGTGAAGGCTTTTATGATGATCCACTTCCACTTCATGAATAGTAAATATATTTTCTCTTCCTTATAATTTTTTTTTGACAGGGTCTTGCTCTGTCACCCAGGCTGGAGTGCAGTGGTGCGATCTCAGCTCACTGCAACCTCCACCCCCCAGGCTCAAGTCATCCTCCCACTTCAGCCTCCCAAGTAGCTGGGAACACACGCACATCACCATACCTGCCTAATTTTTTTTTTTTTTTTTTAGAGATGGGGTCTCCCTATATTGCCCAGGCTTGTCTGAAAATCCTCAGCTCAAGCGATCCTCTCGCCTAGGCCTCCCGTAATGCTGGGATTACAGGCATGAGCCACCCGCACCCAGCCCAA